GACCCCTCCTTGGGTTTCCGAGGCAGTATCACTATGGAAGTAGATTGCCTCATCTTCCTTCCAAGGAGTGGCTGGTGGGTTTGCACTGCCAGCCTTCTGGTTAGCAGTCAAGTGCCTTAGGCACTATGCTACCAGAGCTCCCCTATTTACATTACTAACACATTATCCAATCCCCTTGGTGAGCCACAAAGCACCTCACATTTACAGTTCCACCCAGTCATCTGGTAGGAGTCACAAAGACCATGGCCAGAAGAATGATATTACGCAATTCACTCCCCTGAACTGCCTCACCTCCCTCAGTTTCCTTGAGGGTATGGCCTTCATCCAGTATATATATATGACTGCTCTGGCAAAGATCTCTTTCTTGCTTTAGATCTTGCATCTCCTTCTCATCATCTGACCTCAGGTTATTCGGATTTGAGCCAGAAATCTATTGTCTAACCAGACTGGTTGGTCCTGCAACCTTATGAGCCAGGTCCTGTCATCTGCCCTGCCAATTTGGGTTCATCAGCTCTGTAACCACATGAGCCAAGATCTCCCAGCCTCCACAACCACATGAGCTATTTTCTTGATGAATCATGAGTTCTATGAGACACTACAGTGAACTGTGAGCCCAGATATGGGAGTAAGAGTACTGAGGGGAGGGGAAGAGTTGATGTCAGAGATGGTGGAGTGGTATGGCAGTTTGGAAAAGCCGGACATTCGTGACATCTTTAACCTCCATTTTATAGGAACCAGTTTTGTGCTGATCCTTGTAAAAGAAATTACTCATACGAGGCACACAAAGAACTCAACAGAGCACACTTACAGTTAAGGGTTTTATTATGTAACTCAGGATCAGAAGCCACAGGCTACAACCAGGGACCAGGCTCACAAAGCATGGAGGCAGTCTCCCTTCCTCAGCGCAGGACAGCTCTCTCAGCTCCTCTCAGCCATGCAAACAAGCAGGCCCTCTTCTCCACTAATGCAGGCTTCCTATTGGTCCTTTCAGGAAAGGTTCCTCTCAACTGCCTTCTCTCACCACACACTCTGCCACAAGACCCTTTCCAAGGCTGTTATTGTCAGCTCTGCAGATGGGCACCTTCCAGGGCTCTGGACCCCTTCTCTGCTTCTTACTGTCATCAGAGTTACTGCCCTCATCTAGGAGGTTCCATGTCACCTCTCTCTCTACTTCTTTCTTGCCTTTTCTTCTTTGTACTACTTCCTGCTACCTGTGCACTTCTCTTTTTGTTTCTGAACCCTCTGTTGGATTGGCTACAAATATAAACAAATTTGTTGTCAATTTCAAGGCATGGCCCTCCCACCAATGTCATGAACTGACCCATCCCCTCTTGGAAGGCCAGTGACACTTCATTTGCATAGTACATACAGCAATGCCTGCAAGATTCATACCAACCACAGGATAGGCTATGTCCCAGGAACAAACTAAAAGTATCAAACCAAGTAGTTTACAGCTTACCTGGAGTTTGGGTTACCAACTACTGCTCTGACAAGAATATACCACAAATGGGATGGCTTGAAGAAACAGGAATTTAGTCTCTTACAGTTTGGAGGCTTTAAGTCCAAGTTCAAAATGCCAAGCTCTGGGGGCTGGGTGAAAGCCCCTCACTTCAGCTCAGCCTCCTGCCTCTGGCCCACTGAAGCTGGAGGCTTTTCTTCATTCAGCTGCTGGCTGCTGAGGCTGACAAGCCCAAGGTTGACAAGTTGTAAGGCACAGTCCTGATATTACCAAACCACACGGCAGGCCATAAATTCAAGTCCAATAAAAGCCCCAAGATCAGCAGAGCATGGCAGGCTGCTCAACAATGACTTGGCTACATGCAGGGTTCAAGCGCGCCATAAACTAGAGACCATTCCCAAAGCTGCTGCTTAGATATGGGAAGCAAACCACATCTCCAAAGCAGAGCTACTCAGCTGCTTGCTGTAGATCCTACCATGGAATTGATTGCCAGTCTCATCATGGGGAATAACTACCACCAGCTGCCCAGCCACTCAACCAGGCCCAGCCAAGTGGACACACAACTATAAGTACCACAAAATGTTACCTCTAAAGGCTTAGGGGGAGCTCTGGTAGCATAGTGCCTAAGGCATTTGACTGCTAACCAGAAGGATGGTGGTTCAAACCCATGAGCCACTCCTCAGAAAGTTGGGCAATCTACTTCTGTAGTGGTACCACCTCAGAAACCCAAGGAGGGGTTGCTATGAGTCAGATCCAACTGGACAGCAGTGAGAGAAAGAGAGAGAGAAAGGCTTAGAGGGAAAAAAATCTCTTGAGCTGTTTTCAAAATAGCTAAGACAAAAGACCACATAAAAGAACTCATTTCACCATCTCCCAAAAAACCAAATCCACTGCCATCGAGTCAATTCTGACTCATAGCAACCCCCACTGGGGTTCCAAGGTGATGAAACATTATCAAAGTATAATGCCCATATTCCTTCCATGGAGCAGCTGGTGGATTTGAACTGACAACCTTCTGGTTAGCAGGCAAATGCCTTAGGCACTGCATCTCTGGAATGCAATGATAAGACTTGTGTTGACAAGATGTGCAGTGTGGGGTTTATAACTTTACTTAAAGGATTTTTTTTTTCTTTTTCCCCAGTGGTCTTGAAGAAAGAAGTCCAAGCAGCACGAAAGGAATTGGTAAAAAGCAAGTCTCCAGGAATAGATGGATTACCCATTGAGATGATTCAACAAATGGATTCAATGCTGGAAGTGCTTGCTTGTTTATGCCAAGAAATTTGTAAGACAACTACCTAGACAATTGACTAGAAGAGATCCCTATTCATGCCCATTTGACTCAAGATACATCTTACCCTAAACAGGCATAGAGACTAGGATTTACAATACATCACATAATGGAGGACAATGGCTAGAAGGGCCACATCAAGCAATTCACTGCACTGAACCATCCCAGAGGCAGAAAAGGAGATCTCACTACTATCATGAGGGTGAAGCCAGAAGTGGAATGCATCTTTGGAACAAGAGCCTCCTCAACCCAGGAAACAGAGGACTGTAACACTTTGCTGAGGTAGCAGAGAGTTGGCAGCAGCAGAACCAAGAAACTGGCATGAGACAGAGTGGCAAGCTTTCTAGCCCATGGAGTGAGAAAGCTGAGTGCTTTTAGACAAGAAGCTTGCTGGTGGAGTGGGGTGCCTCTTTGGGTACCTACTTGCACAGCTAAGACCTTTGTAACACTGGTCCAAGCAAGGCAAAGGCTGAGCCCAGAAAGCAGCATTCCTGTGGCACAGGTAAGAAGCTCTCCTGATTGAAGAATTGTATCCTGAATGTTCCTTAACCTGAATCACAACCTGTTACTTCCCAAATAAACCCCATAATCATGAGTAATGTGTGTGAGGTCTGTGTGGCCATTGCAACAAATTACAGCAGAGAAGTAGAGGGTGACATGGAAGGGGTAGTTGGTGTCAGAACTAGTAAAAAGGTTGGAGGGTGGTAGTATCTCTGAGGGTGGAATCAGCCTTGGGTTGCCAATCTTGGTCCCTCTCCTTCCTTGTGAAGTTAGAGAAGGTCAGACAATGTGGCCACCATACCATTTTTGCAGTAACCTTTCAGGAACCAAAGACAAAGGTCAAATTACTTGTCCCAGAGGTGGTGTAGGCAGGCTTATTCTAAAATATGTATGTTAAGGCAAAATAACTAGGAAAGATAAAACAATTCTGAGAAAGAAAAATAAAGGTGGAGGAATCTGAGTAATCCATTTTTCAATGAACTATCTATCTACAACAATCATGATAGTATGGTATTAGCAGAGGAATAGCATACAGATCAACCAAACAGAACAGAGTCAACAAGTGGTCCCACACAAGCACAGGCAGGTGACTTCTTACACATACGCAAATACAATTTAATGGAAAAAAGACGGTATTGTCCACAAATAGTTTATGATCAATGGAAAAAGAAAATGTACTTTAAACCTCACCCCCTACATAAGAACTCAAAATGGATCAGTTCTAAATACCAAAAGAAAACTGTTTTTTTCTGCTACACTGCATTAGTACCTTCAATACTGAGTATTATCCTAGAGAGGCAAAAACTCATATTTACACAATACACTTATAAAAGCATGTCTATAGCATCAGTATTTGTAACAGTAAAAAACAAACAAAACAAAACAAACAGAAACAACTCTGCAGTGTAATGGTTTCTCTTCATAGATGGGCTTTCTGGCCTTGGGTTTAGAATTCTGCCAAAATTGGCTGGGCCACAGTCTTGTAAAGTGAGTTTTGGTTAGTCTTCTATACAAATAAGATGTGTGAAACTCTTGCAGGGATTGGTCAATTACTACGCAAACAAGTTTCTTGTGGTCAACTGAAGACATTGGGTTAATTTTGCCATCATGCTAGGTTTAAAAGAGCCAATCCCATAGAGGTTGAGGAAGACCTCATTAGCATCCTTGGGACTCAGAGTCCCTGTGCTGGGGGAGAGAGTTTCTAGACCAGGGAGAAAGCAAGCTGTAACATAGGAGACGGGTGTGAGACAGCACACTGGCAGAACAAGCAAACCAGGAAACCGGTGTGATGAAACTGTGGTGGGCTTCCTAACGGTTGCAGTGGAACTGCCAACTCACGGAGTGAAAAAACTGAGTGCTTTAGGGAGGAGGCTTGCTTGCTGAGTGGAGTACATTCAGGCGCTTGTTGACAAAGCTAAAGAACTGTAACCTTTCCTGAGCAGGGAGAGGACAGGCCCAAGCAGGATCAGATGGGCATAGCTGGGAAAGAATCTTGTCTGTCTATCTGGGAGTGAGGCCTGCCTGTGGGGATAGACGAGAAGAAACTGTGAGATGTCTGGTTGAAAGCCATCCTGATTAAAGAACTGTATTCCAAGTTGTAAGCGTTATTTCTAAGTTGATCCTGAATTGTAGCTTGTTACTTCCCAAATAAACCACATAATTGCGAGTATAGCCTGTGAGTTCTAAACTCAGAGCAGCAAATGATCAAACCCAACAAAGAAGTATAGAGTGCTGTGGAGTGTACGATTTGATGTTGGAATTGGTCAAAAGTTTGGAGAGTAGAGGATGTCTGATTCCATTTCACAGATACCAGCTTTGGGCTGATCCTGATCTGGATTTTCTTCCCAACTTGTGAAGTTAGAAGACCTCTGACATTACTATGACTATATTATAAATGCCAATGTCCCTCAATGGTTGAATGGATAAATAAATGGTGGTACATCGTATCAACTATTACTAAATCAAACCAAAACCAAACTCACTGCCATCGAGTCAGTGCCGACTCACAGCGATTCCCGTTAGGTTTCTCAGGCAGTAAATCTTTACAGAAGCAGATTGCCCTTTCTTCTGTGGAGTGGCGGGTGGGTTTCAACTGCCAACTTTCTGGCTAGCAGTGAGATGACTTAGGCACTGTGCCATCAGAGCTCCCTCATCTATTCCTATGCAACAATAAAACAACTATTGAAACACAGAACAAACTGGATGTGTATTACGGTGAGTTTACTTCAGGTAAAACAGCCAACTACAGAAGGGTAAATGCTTTCTGATTTCCTTTTTATAACATTCTAGAAATGAAAACTTAGTATATACAGATCAATGATTGCCAAGTCTTAGGGTCAGAGAGACTGGGTGACTGGAAACGGGCCACACAAGGGCATCTGTTTTAATATAGCAGTTCTGGATCTTAGTTGTGCTGATTACACAACACTATGCATGAGACAAAATTTGTTCAAACTATATATAAAATAAAAATAAAAAAAGTATGCTTTTAAAAGTGATGGTATCTTTGGAGGAAGCTGAATGAAGGGGACATGGAAAGTCTCCAGATTATTTCTGCATATATATTTTTTTAATTTACACTCATTTCAAAATAAAAACATACAGAAAATCAATATTTACTTTGGTTACACTGATGACGGAAGACTGTATTTCCACTGTAGTCTTTCCTAGACTGTCCATTCCTATACTTTTTAGACATAAAATGGCCTAAAAATGTTTCATAAAGAGTTCTTTTTACTTCTGATTTATGCATATTTTCTTTGACATAAATAGGGAAGTAACTGACCACTAAAGACACTACCATATTGTCTGCATTAATTGAGTGCATTCTTCAGTGCAAATACCCATCTCCTGTGGCCCAAAACTGGAAATAGCCTGCCCCACAACAACTAGGTGTGCATTCTCTTATGTTTAACAAGGATGGACAAGTGGGCAAAAGATTTCCCACAATTATCGCATCCGTAGGGCCTCTCTCCTGTATGTTTCCTTTGGTGAACCTTGAGCCCTGACTTTGTGGTGAAGGCTTTTATGCATACATTGCATTCATAGGGTTTCTCTCCTGTGTGGGTTCTCTGATGGGTAATGAGGTCGTACTTGCGCAAAGAGAATTTTCCACATTCAGTACATACAAAGGAAGTCTTTCCTGCGTGGAACCTCTGATGTTGTATGAGGCATGTCTTTGTCCGGAAGCCTTTCTCACATTCATTGCATTTGTAGAGTTCCTCACCAGTATGAGTTCGCTCATGTATACCTAGAGTGCTCTTCATGCTGAAGCCCCTTCCACATTCATTGCACTTATAAGGCTTCTCTCCGGTATGAGTTCGCTGATGAGCAATGAGCATGCTTTTCCCGGTTAAGCCTTTCCCACATTCATTGCATATGTAGGGTTTCTCTCCAGTATGAGTGCGTCGATGAACATTGAGTTGGCTCTTCTCAGTGAAGGCCTTCCCACACTCATTGCATACATAGGGCTTCTCTCCTGTGTGAGTTCGTTGATGTCCAACCAATCGGATCTTTGCTGGGAAGCCTTTTCCGCATTCATTACATACATAGGGCTTCTCTCCTGTATGAGTTCGCTGATGTACAATCAGACGGCTCTTCACAGTGAAGCCTTTTCCACAGTCATTGCATACAAATGGTTTCTCTGCAGTATGAGTACGCTGATGCAAGGTGAGATCACTCTTCATGGGAAAGCCTTTCCCACATTCACTGCACACATAGGGTTTCTCTCCTGTATGTGTTCGCTGATGTCTGATGAGAAGACTCTTCAGGATGAACCCTTTTCCACACTCACTGCATATGTAGGGTTTCTCTCCAGTATGAGTTCGCTGATGGACGATGAGACGGTGCTTCATGGAAAAGCATTTTCCACATTCACTACATGTATAGGGCTTCTCTCCTGTGTGAGTTTTCTGATGAGTCGTGAGACTGAACCTTGTAGAGAAGGCTTTCCCACATACATTGCACCCGTGAGGTTTCTCTCCTGTATGAGTTCGCTGATGATAAATAAGCCGACACTTCTTGCTGAAGGCTCTTCCACAGTCACTGCATATGTACGGTTTCTCTACCACATGAGTTTTCTGATGTATGTTGAGTTGTGATTTTTTGAGGAAGGTTTTGTCACATTCTGTGCACTCATAATATTTCAGACCAGTATGAGCTCTCTGATGTTCAATCAGCCTGTACTTTCTGGAGAAGGCTTTCCCACACACACTGCATCCATGAGGTTTCTCTTCTGTATGAACCTTCTGATGATCGATGAACTGAGACGTTTCAATGAAGGCTTTCCCACATTCATTGAACACATGAGCTTTTTCAAATTCAGCAGTGCTCAGAAGATTAATCACCTGAGACATGTTATTGTTGGGGTTTACACTTTCATGGAATATATTATCAGTATAAAGTTGTTCATGCGCACCATGGAAAAATAATTGTCCATATCCATTAAACTCAGTCAACTTTTTTACGTCATAGCCTCTGTTCTGGTTTTCAACACTCAAATTTGAGTTCAAAGTTTTTCCATGCAAGTCTGATATATCCTGACTTTGGTTTAATAGAAAATTATGTGTTCTCTGATAAGAAACCTTTCCAAATGCATTACGTTCATGCCATTGTTCCATACACTTTTGTATCCTTTGCTTTTGCAAGTGATGCTGGAGATGATCATCAACTTCCCTCATTTCTAGGAAAGAAAAGGACAATGAATCATTCTACAATCTTAGTTTGGAATAAAAATATTTAAAAAATGCATTGGTGTGTGAAGGATTTTTTTGACAACCCAAGGAGTTCAGCATTAAAAAAAAAAACGCAAATGTTCCCTATCTCTTGCACATTAGTAAAAGCACAATGATGTAGAAGAAGTCACTACAAAAGCTAAAAGCAGTCAGTGTATAAATAAAGTTATGTAATTTACAATCTCTATAGACTTGTCTACTTTCTGAATAAATCCTTATAAAACATACCAACAACAACAATTCAAAAAAAAAAAAAAAGACATTCTAAAACAACAACAACAAAAAAAAAACAGTTTACAAGGAGATCAAGTTGTTAAGATAATAGAAACAGGGATTACATTTCCAAAATGGAAAAAAAAAAAAAAAAAAACGTCTCCTATGACAAGGGGAATTGCTAGGGGGGCTATTTACATACCTAAAACATGCTGTAAACTATGACACCTTCTCTGAATTCTATATTTCTTCAATAAGCCATCTTGTTGGTTCTTATTCACTCACCTGGAGAGATTTGACAGCGAACTTCATCTTCTACTGTCCATAGTTCTTCTCCTTGTTCCAACTTGGAGAGTGCATCTGATTTGGTAGCTTGATACCCTGTTCATGGGAAATGATAGAAGACTTATACCTACTGAACTCGCGTTAATGTATCAAGAAGGAAAAATGTTACATTTAGGAACTACAGACTTGTCATATCTGCAAAGTCAAGGCTTTAATTTTAGAAGGTATCTTACACCCTTTTCTCCAGGGTAAGAAAAGGATCTGAAAATCTTATCATGTAAGAGCATTACACATCCTCTGGAGAGTTACTCAATGACACAGGGTAGCTTTCTCACCTATGGACACCAGGTTGCTATAGTTCTCCAACATCACGTCCCGGTACAGCCTTTTCTGCTTGGAATCAAGAAGCTGCCACTCTGCCCAGGTGAAGTCCACAGCCACATCATCGAATGTCAGCACTTTCTGTAAGAACAGGGTCCTGTTTAATGAAGTTATCTTTTTTTTTTTTTTTATGTTTTTTTTTTTTTTTTTTTTTTTGATGATATGGAAGGAATGTGATGGAAGTTATGTTGCTGTTGTTGGCACATGTTGTTGTTATTCTGTGCTGTCAAGTCGTCTCTGACTCATAGCGAATTTATGTACAACAAAATGAAACACTACCTGGTCTTGTACCAGCCTCATGATCCCTACTCTACCTGAGCCCATTGCTACAGCCATCGTGTCAATCCATCTTGTTGAGGGTCTTCCCCTTTATCATTGACCCTCTAGTTCTCCAGGGAATGGTCCCTTCTGACAACATGACCAAAGTGGGTGAGATGAAGTCTGGCTAGTCTCACTTCCAAGGAGCATTCTAGCTGCACTTCTTCCAGGACAGATATGTTAGTTCCTTTACCAGTCCATGGTACTTTCAGCATTCTTCACCAACACCACAATTCAAAAAGCATCAACTCTTCTTCAATCTGCCTTAATAATTATCCAGCTCTCACATGCATATGAGGTGACTGAAAATATCATGGATTGGGTTAGGTGCATCTTAGTCTTCAAGGAGGTATCTGTGTCCTTCAGCACTTGAAAGAGGTCTTTTGCAACAGATTTGCCCAATATAATGTCTTTTGATGTCTTGACTGCTGCTTCCTTTGGCACTGATTGTAGAACCAAGTAATATGAAGTCTTTGACAACTTCAATCTTTTCTCCATCTATCGTGATGCTGCTTATTGGTCCAGTTGTGAGGATTTTTGTTTTCTTTATATTGAGGTGTAATCCATACTGCAGACTGTACTCTTTAATCTTCATCAGTAAGTGCTCCAAGTCACCCTCACTTTCAGCAAGCAAAATTGTGTCATCTGCGTATCTCAGGTTGTTAATGAGCCTTCCCCCAATCCTGATACTACATTTTCTCCAATTATTTCTCCAATTCTCAGCATATAGATTAAGTAAGTATGGTGTAAGCTTCTTCCTTCAATACCATTGGTTTTTGATCATATGCCACCTCCTGAAATAGATGCTCATCTACCAATTCTTTTTGATATAGTGACTCTGTATTCTATCCATTCTCTTTTGATGTTTCCTGCATCATTCAACATATTGCCCATGGAATCTCTCAATATTGCAATTTGAGGCTTAAATTTCTTCCTCAGTTCTTTCAACTTGAGCAACACTGAGCATGTTCTTCCATTTTGGCTTTCTAATTCCAGGTCTTTGCACATTTCATTATAATTGACTTTGTCTTCTTGAGCTGCTGCCCTTTGAAATCTTCTGTTCAGCTCTTTTATCCTGTTGATTCTTCTATTTGCTTCAGCTACTCTCTGCTCAAGGGCCAGTTTCAGAGTCTCTTCTGACATCCATTGTGGTCTTTTCTTCCTTTCTCATCTTTTTAATGACCTTTTACTTTCTTCATGGATGATGTTCTTGGTGTCATCCCACAAATCCTCTGGTTTTTGGTCACTGGTGTTCAATGCATCAAATTTATTCTTTAAATGGTCTCTAAATCCAGAGGCATATGATCAAGGTAGTATTTTGGCTCTCATAGACTTCTTTTAATTGTCTTCAACTTCAACTTGAACTTGCATATGTGCAGTTGATGGTCTTCCAAAATCAGCTCCTGGCCTTGTTTTGGCTGAAGATCTGGAGCCTCTCCATCACCTCTTGCCACAGATGTCGTCAATCTGATTCCTGTGTACACCATCTGGCAAAGTCCATGTGTATAGCTGCCGTTTCTATTGTTGGAAAAAGGTATTTGCAATGAATAAGTCATTGGTCTTGCAAGCTCTATCATGCAATCTCTAGCATAATTTCTATCACCAAGGCCATATTTTCCAACTACCGGTGATTCTTCTTTGTTTCCAACTTTTGCATTCCAATCATCAGTGATAATGAACACATCTTGATTGCATGTTT